ATAGTTCGCAACTCGAGCGATTCTCGAAACGCGCGACTACGACCGCGCTCTATGCTGATACATGAACTGATGTGACTTCCAATCCGATCAATTTCTGGAAAGAACTTGTGACAGTTCCACCTAGCCACCGATTAGCGGTGAAGCGCGGTTGGCCGTAGTTAGGAAATCGCATGTTCCGCGAAGTATGTACGCGCTCTGAGAAAAGAAACTAACCTGATCACAGATGGGACAATCAAGGGGATGGTTAGTAAGCAGGAATTCCATAACTCCTTCTCGTACCTTACGTGTAAGTGCTGAGTTGGTTTTTACCCTCATTCCTTTCATTACTGGCATTGCGCACGATGCCACTGGCTAAAATAATACTCTTCAAAATGGGGATACTCAGACAAAAATAGCGTAAAATAATACCTTCATGCTCTTTTCAACCTCAACGAGGCACATTCGACAATTACCGGCAATCGACAGACGGTCATGGTAGCAGAACCGAGGAATGTCTATGCCTACCAAAGCGCATGCCTAAAATTTCCGAAATGGGCAATCGGCTCAAAGCTCCGTCTCTCTTAAAAGCACATCTCTGAGGGTATGGACCTAGTTAAGGACAGGCTTATCAGAGAACCTCTCCAATGTTCTAGTAACCTAGTGGAATTGCGAAAGACAAACTTGCAGAATTGTTAGTCCAGGATCCACAAGTATCTTCTTATCATCAATAAACACTTCAATCTTCTCCGGTGCAGCTGTAGTCGATTGTGCTCGTTTACACGCGGCGGTGCCCAAGCGCGCCGCACGTGCCACCGAGCCAACACGGTGCATACCCTGGAATAGGGTCAAAAATTCATTACTAAGCATTCATTTCGCGATCAGGACCGAAGGCGCTCAATCGGTAATCGTTAGACCACCTCACCCTCTAACTTGATCACATTCGCAACATCACATTCGCAACATTTTTTCTACAAACATTTTTATAACCCGTCCTTCGCTTCTAACTGGAATTGGATGAAGGTAAGCTCTCCTAATTATAATAATACATGT